ACACTATTACAATATTCTATTTATAATATGCTATGCTAATTTAATTTAAAAATAAGAATAAAACTTATACCGCAGTTTCTTTACGTTGCAACATTATGCATGTTGCAAGCACTGAGAATCGGTTTTCTTTGAAATTACACATTCGCTTATAAAAATAAACATAAAAGCGAGCGCATAATGGAATCCACAAAGGAACGATTCCCTCGCAACTGTGAACAATTGCGACTTCAAGTCTGTTGTATTCGCACGCCGCGCCAATGCAAACATGTAAACATGTGCACATAACAAATTTTAAACACAATTTGTATTTCAAAATTATGGACAGAATTAATATTTCTTTCTATGTAACACCCGTACGACAAATTACCATATAGGTTTAGAAAAGTAATACGAAGGATGAGTTTTTTTTTATTTCTTTCGTTGAAAACTCCCCTTAATGGCTCTGCTATTGTTTGATGTCATAACACGGGTTACACCAAATGCGACTTTTAAAGTAATTGCAAATTTCAGTTATAGTTGAGGGACATAAAAGCAAATATGCTTATGTCCAATTTTTAAACTAGACATACTTGTTGCTTGTTATCTATATCTATTATAATAAAGCGTAAACACACACTTCTTTGTTGCCTAAGATGTCAGCATCATATTTTTTAATTGCTCTTTTTTAATAAAAAGCCCTACACTTACGTCATGATTTAGGCTATATCTTTAGATGCCGTATTTTTCTCTTAATTTAAATTTTTTCAGGTACTTATTTTATAATTAAGGAATTTCCTTTACTTGACATTTGGCTTTGTTCAGAAAATGATTAATATGAATTTCCCACATGGAGGTATTTCCGAAATTGATTCAATTAAAAATATCATTCGCTCCAAAGTTCAGTTTCATATTAAAATCTATTGTCTACTCGGAATGTTGTCTGACTCGTGAGTTGTTTCTTTAGTAAACCTTACTAATCTTACTGCTTACTAATATTAGGAGTATAAATGCGAACGTTTAGATTGCTGGCCGGATGTTTGTAGCCTAAACTGCTGAACGGAATTTGATGAAATTTGGCATAGATGTAGAGGATAGTCTGGAAAAACACATAGGCTACTTTTTTTTTAATTTCACGCGGACAGAGTTGCGTGCGACAGCTAGTTAAAATATAAATATAAAGAAATATATAATATTAAGATAATGCTCATAGCTATTTTTGAATTTTTATTCTTTGAAGTCGTTTATTTATTTTTAATCAATTACGTCCGAGCTCACGTTTGTGGGATTTCCTTCGCTCAGTTTTAGATAAGGTTACAGAAGCCTTTGCAAGTTGTTGAAGTAAATTCTATACTCCATTTTAATTGAATTCGTGTTTTAGCTATATTTAATAGCAATACCTAGGTTTTCGTAAGTAACAAGAACTTTAATTTTGACTGTTGAGGTACATCGGTAAACTTTCACCTAAGAAGTGATGATTGTGTGAAAGGTATCTATCATGATTGAAGTGATCGACTTGGAGAATGAAAGCCTGCATTGACCCAATCAATTGAGTATTTTTTAACCGTGACCTGCCGTTTTACCAGTCCAGAAATATATTCTTTACTTGTTTTATTGACAATGAGAGGGGTCAAATTAAGTCTTACTGAGGTCACAAACTAGGTCAAATATAATGATTAATTGAGGATGAATCGCGATCTTTCATTGATCTTAGTATTTCTTTTCATGGATAAAAATATATTGGTGTTTTTTACAATCAAAGAAACCACGAATGAATATTTGTTTTGCCTTCGTCCGGCCTTGGGATAATTATAAATTCATCATTACGAGACGTTTGAAATAAAAGTTGACGCAGTGGAAATGTCCAATTCAAAATGAAAGCGTCGCGCTATTTCCGACTAAATTGTGAAAAACTTGACGACGTATAGTGGAATCAAAGTTGACGCCATTTCATGTAGGTACAGAGAGAATTTTTTAGTAAAAACTTTCTTTGTGACGTTTTTACTCTCTGAAATTTATTGTGTTTTATATGAAACGTTTTAGTAAATATAAAATTTTAAAATGAATGTTACAATTTTTGGTGCAAAGGGATTATGATATTTGTTGATATCTGTCATTTGTTTTTTAGGAATCTCTAGAGAAAAGTTAATAAGATTGACAGGAGGTGGTTAAGGGCTGCTTACCTTCAGTATGCTGTAGTTAAAGAGAAGGCGTCAGAAATAAATAAAAAAAAGTCTTTAAAAAGTATAATAATTAAAATGTAGTACCTACCGTACAGCAATACTATCCAAAAATATAATATTGAAACAAATTTAAACTCAAACTGTAATTAATTACGAATTAAATTCAGTTTCCTTTAATTATGGGAATGTCTACCCCTATCTCGCAGTCGCACGATCGTGGTAACCGGAGCGTAGCAATTAGGGATCACAATTTGACTCGAAGTGTACTCGAATATTAGAGGTATGAATTCATAAAGTTGTAATTAACCCTGTGAACCGTAGGAGTCACCTAGTTACGTGTCGGGTGACACGTTTTGCTGCTTATTGGAGCGTTTAATCAATGTAACTATACGGTCTATATGAACCCAGTTGCTGGATACTAAATAAATACAGTATAGGGAAAAAGGGAGAGTGAAAATTATCATATTTTTTAACATAATCGTTCTGTTAAATTTGCATTACGACAAATCGACAAAATTTATATGAGCTTTGTTGGTGTACTTTTTCGGTAGGGGCGTTGCAGAAATTCAATAAAATCTTGATGATGACGTTACGAAAACTTTCTCACGTATTTTCATGGTAAGCCCTCTCTTTTCTTAAAACCTTTTTGGCGAATGTGAATCTTATTTTCATATGAACTGGCACCATTAAGATGGATACAGTACGAAATCAAAACTGACATGTTGAGTTCTTTGCTTTTAATTTTCTATTTTAAAAGTTTTATTTGGAGTTTTGTGAGTAAAAGAGAGAAGGAAGGTATGAGTCATATATGGTTAAAATAACAACATTGATCGCACCATGTTAACCGACCTTAAGATTGACATTCTTCCTGTTCCTGATATCCGCGACATTTTTCTGCATTTTTATGATACGATGCAGTTTCCTGATTTATTTTTAACTAGTTGTTACTCGCGACTTCGTCTGTGTCAAGTTAAAAAATATAGTTAATATCAGATAACGTAGTTTATTAATGGTTTAAGAATTTTTGAAGTCGGCCTAGTAGTTTTTTTAACTACTTTAGTATATATAAAATACAAATCTTTTCTTTATTTAATATTAGTATAGACAACTGATACTGACCCGGTGTTACTAGAACAGGTCCCGATTTGATTGTTTATATGTGTATTTAAAATGAAGTTTTAATACAAAACGTGTTATCTATGGAGGCATTAAATTAACAATAAAGGTCGACCACCTTTACCAGCCTATCACGTACAAGTAACATGCAGATGTAATTAAAAATATTTGCGCGGTATTATATGAATCGTTGTTGTAAATAATGATTATTAAAGAGTATATTTATTTTTGTTAAATTAAAGAATGTTTAAGTGGGTTTTATCTTTAATAATATTATCTATCTATACTATTATAATAAAGCATAAACACACACTTTTTTGTTGCCTAAGATGTCAGCTATTACAGCATATTTTTTAATAATCCCATTTTTAATAAAAAGCACTACACTTACGTCACGCTTTAGGCTATATATTTTAACGCCATTAAACTTAGGGGCTAAATATTTTGGATAAAAACCCTAATGTGGGAAAGAGACCATAACTTGCTGCCATGTCATGTCATGTCAGTTTGACATTTGTAATTGATAAATTGACAAATGTAAACAATGAAATAAAATTTTCATAATTTCATGCGGATGAAGTCGCACGGTAACAGTTAGTTGAAAATCAAAAAGAAGTAAAGTAATCCTTCTAATAACAATTAAAATATCGCAGTTGACTAATGCGTCACTTATTTGCGCATTAACTACTGCGTATTAACGGTTCGTGTTGTTAACTTTCACTTACAACAGAAGTTGAAAACTCCATTGTCTATAGTAATGACAACCTTATTGTTTATCCCACGTAAAACGAAAGTGTTCAAAGATATTTGAAACTCACTTAAGCTATTAATATTGGTTATTGTTAAAAATTGTACGAAAAACATATTTTCATAATATACATTGTCTAAAAATTTTGTTTTTTCCCAGTGGAAATCGTTATCCGGTATCAAAACTAAATATTTACTTTTTCGACGCATTGTTATATGGAGAAAATCAAATACGCTGTCAGTAATGGTGAGAAATTAATGCTAAAATTTAAATCTGCATTGAGACTAATTGGGTTAATGGATGCACCATTTTGGTACTGCAACTGAAGTATGCTAACAGAATGCATCTTTCGTAATTAGAAAATTAGAGGGATTTTACATATGGTAACTATAAAATATTTACTACTATCAGTATTTTCCTGCGTCTAACTTGCTACTTTATGACACATTTGCTGTTGCTCGCGACTTCGTCCACGGGAAATTAAACATAATAAAAATATTTAGCCTATGTTACTCACTGATAACGAAGCTTTTTAATAGTGTAAGATTTTTTGAAATCGGCCCAGTAGGTGAGTTATTTCAATACATATAAAAATACAACTCTTTCCTCTTTATAATATTAGTATAAATATAATATAAAAAATCAAACTAATATTTTTTTTCTCGTTCTAATGAAGAACCATAGCTAATAAATGACTGGTGCACAACAATTGTGGGCATAAATCTATGACATTAATCATAGAGATGTCGTGTAATAGACGAGGTAGACACCGGATGACAACGCGGTCGAGGCAACGATCGGCCATGACTTCGTCCTCTATTGCACTATGCATTAAGCACCCTTCCGTATGGACGCATTTTTAACGCGCATTGAATCGTTGAAATAGAACAATTGTATTTCCAAGTATCAGCTCTTTTAAATCCCAACGCTTTTATATCGCGCATTGTTGTATTTTAAAAACTGGACTAACAAAACAAGAGATTATAAAGGGTTTGTCGCTCGAGATCCGCTAACGCCGGCGTTAAAAACACGCTCGTGCTATTGCGTTCAAAATACGTGTTGATTTATTTAGACTTTCGACGATGTGTAGCTTTTGAATTGAATTGTGGCAATTAAAGCCGAAAAGGTCTAGGACTGAAAATATGACAAAAGATTTTTAGGCATAGACAGTAATCTATTCGCAGTTCTGCTGTTCTACAAATTACAAAAATGTCCAAACCTATTTATACGCTGTTACGAACGTTGTTGATAATAAATGTAAAATGACTTATTAAATTTTGTTCCAGAGGTGTCAATGGACGTGAGCCGCGCGTTCTGCCCCCGCGCCGGCTGCGACACTGTGGTGACAGTACGAGCCGCGAGCCCCGCGCATTGCCCTACCTGCCGGCATGAATTCTGCTCACAGTGTAACCAGGAGGTAAACGATAATATACCGTTATCAGGGGTGACAAACTAGTCGACGCTGGCCTTTATAGTAAAGTCCGTAGATACAAGGGACAAAATATTTTTTGTTTCATACTCTGCGTTAAGTGATGTCCCTGAGTGTAAATTTAGTATGACAAATGTACACTAAAACAATTAACATTACTAACAAATCAGAGTGTAGCCGATACTAAGCAAATTACCTATAAAGTGAACAGGTTTTTAAAACCTTTAGAAGAAGTTTATTAATTGCCTTTTATCGCTTTAGCAAAATAATATTTTTATCCTATTTTCTTTCTATGTAATTATAAGTCTAAAATAATTAATTCGAGTTAGTTTTGCCTTGTTCATGTTTATTTTGCTTCGCTTTGTTTATACGTATTGTTTACAGTACTATGTAATTATTTTAAATGTTAATATTGTATCTTTGCATTTATTCAGCGTTGTTTTACCGGAAATACAAACAATAATCATCTCGGTTGAAAAATCTTTTAAATTTCGATATTGCACATAACGGTTTTGATATAACATAGCTAGCGTTAAATATCATATTTTATGATCAACGTGAAACTAAAATTAGATTATAGTCCTCTAGTATTATTATACTTTATAGCAATATTATGAATGCGAAAGTTTAGATGGATGGATGATGATGCTTGTTAGAGTTTGTATCTAAAACGGCTGAACGGATTTCGATGAAATTTGGTA